CCTAAATGTGATTCCTGGTCAAGAAGAAAAGCTGCTGAAGCAGCATTCAGGCCACAGGACATTTACACAGTCCACTGGCACCCAGACTAATGACATCATGTTAGGATGGCTGCTCCCTGAGGTGCAGTGACCCGCCTCACAGCTTCAGGGCAGCTCACCACTACAGTATGAGGATGAACTGCAGAGAGACTAACAAAGCTGCCTCTCGGTGTTCTGTTTAGCTTGCTCTCCTTCAGTAGAGGACCATATAGACCTAAACCTGTGGGTGCAAGATTATTAAAGAAAAATCAATGCAACACTAAAACATCACATTCAATTATAGCATGTGGATGTCTGTCAACAAATCCCCTGTGTGTGGGAGCAGCAGCAGCAGCGCTGTCTGTCCCACCAGTGTTTGATTTCAGCCCCACACCTTTGACTGTTCATGTAATATGTAGCTTGTGTTTTATATAATAAAGAAAGCCTGGAACATGTGAGCTGTCTGTCGTATATTACTGTTATTTCAGTAGAACAGAGCATTAGGCTTTATTGTCCTGTGAGATGCGGAACCTTTGACAGACTGCTGTTTCCTGCGGTAAACCGTACTCATTTCCTGTTTTCTGTATTTGCACTGCGTTGTGCTTGCTTCGATTGTTTAGGAATTAAACTCACTATTTTCTAGGTTCATCTGAATTTTTGAGTGACAACATACGCTTGCACCACTTAAAGCACTTGTTTCGCAGAAGTTCTTGCTAACTACCAAATTTAACTTGCTACTTTAGGTCGGCTAGTTTAGAAGCTAGCTAAGCTAGTAGCTTAATCGAGAGCAATGGCTTCCTCCTCTTCCTCTCCTCCTTTCTCTTGCTCGGAGTGTCGCATGTTCAGTTATTCCTCTGCCTCCTTTAGAGATAATGGTACTTGTAATAAATGTCAGATGGAGGCGAGGCTCACAGACTTAGAAGCGCGGCTCCACACCATGGAGAATAGGCCAGCTAGCTATGCCCATGTAGGCGGTGTGGACCCTCCTAGACGTAGCTTAGCCCAAGATAGCCGCCCCCCACAGCTTCCCGAGCAGCCGGGATCTCAGACAGGTGGCTGGAGGACATTTCGCAAGAGTCGTAGCTCCAAACGAATGTCCACGG